AAAAAATCTTTAGCTTTCTTTGTTTTTATTAAATTTAAACATAGTAGATATACATATGTACATAAAATCGTAAAATATCCGTTCTCTTTGGCGCGCAGTTTATTGTGTTGTACTCTCCAATGGTGCGCTATTGCCAGCCGGCTACACCACAATCAGCATTTCAGTTTTGCTTAAATCTAAGCAAAACTGTTTAACTTCCTGCCTATTAAAATAATACATTTTTCTTTGTTTTGCTAAATTTTTTGATTAAAATATTTAAAAACGGACAATTTCCCTCAAAAATTCATTTCTAACTATGAGTTACCCTTTCAATAAATTTTTTAATTTTATTTTAGGATTCCGTATAAATTTCAGGAAATGTTGCTCTACGCAACTCCTCATCCGCGCTCTGCAAATTTTCAAACCTCCGAGTGTTCTTCTGCCAAGAAATCGCTTCTCATAAAAACCATTTGCAGTTCGGAACCGATCTAGAACTTTAGGTCCCTTTATTTGTGTGACAAGATCAAAATGAACATTATGGATAACATAATACCAAACTCCTTTCATGCATGCATTCAAAAAACTACCGAAAGGACAGCTAACTATGTATTATCTATATACTTATTTCTAAAAGGTATGTTTCTGTTACCCAACGATATCTTCTTTAATATTTTATAAAATTTAACGAATTAAATATATCTCTTTTTGAAGGGGAGGAGCTCAGGTGTCTGCTAAAAATAGTTACGTTGTTGAAACTGAAACAGCATTTTGAAGGACAGCTTCACCGCTTAAGGCAAAAACAAGAATTTTTAATGGGGTTGCCACCCGCTTAAAATTTTTGGGACTTAAATGTATATCGACTAAAATATTACAACGCATTCAGGGAATGAAAGGCATTTAAATGCACTCTTAACCAGCGTTAATAATTTTGAAGAGGGTTGCCAACTATTTAAAAATCTATATCTATATATATGTATTAAACAAAATTGCTGACGTAATACCCGGCATAGCTGTAGAATGGATTGTCCTATGTGAGCTGCCTTTTTGTGGTGTTTACAACGTGTTGGTTAGGTTAGGTTAGAGTGCATTGCAAAGTATTGCCGGTTTCATTTACAGGTGACGGATTTAAAAAAATTTTGATGGAATTTAGTTTAAAAATAAAAAATCAGCCATATCGTGAGCTTCGTTTTCCTTTAACCGGTTCACTTTTCGTTTCCGTGTATTCGTTGCGGGCGAATGAAAAAATTACGGGCGAAATTCATGACAAGGCTGAATGAGAATATCTGGCGCGTACATTGTTCTTTAAGTGTTCGTAAACCATTCGCCGATTAAATTATGGAACATTGCCTCACGCAACCGCAATTTACAAATATTGGCGATTAGCAATGCAAATCAGAAACCTCAGAAAAACGCCCAAGTTAATACAGGATGACCTCTGTAGGAACAAGTACCTAATATCGAAATCGATCAGTGTTGTGCGATTAACTGTGCGATTAAACGTCAGATCATTGGAAATTTGCAAGTACTTCATCGCGGACATAACGCCTTGGTTAGGTTATTTAAAATGGCAATGGGAGATATGCCATCTGACAACCAAAAACCCATAATTAGAGCAGATCAATGTGCCACTGGTAATCGCTAAGTGAATAGTTGGTGAAAATGTTCCAACAAAAATTAATTTTGGGCGAGACGAAGTTCGCCGGGTACGCTAGTACTACTTACATATTTCTAAAAAGGTATTTTTCTTTCACCAAACGATATTCCTTTAATCTTTTATCAAATTGAATTAACTGTACCTCCTTTTAAGGGGGGAAGCTCACGTTCATGGTCACGTTGTTGAAATTTAGTTATTTATTAAAAAAAAAGGAGGTTTTAAGAAGTTAAAAGCACTGTATCCGGTCAATAAAGCACCATATCTTCCATAACTCTTCATTTAGTTTCAAAGTGAGCACAATTTTAGTTCGATTTCAATAATTTTCAACGTTTTGCTTTTATGCGGTAAGTACGATAGTTGTTACCGAGATAAAGATATGCCGGCATAAGTGAGCGATACCACGCCTATTTTCCAAAATTTTATCATAAACATATTTTTTGCTAAAGAATCATTGCTGGTATCAATTTCGAATAAATTAGCTTCAGTATTTACTAATTTATCGAAGATTTCGCATTTCTCTAAATTACCGTTATATGGGAGGTAGACATGGTTATTGTACGATTTTTTCTAAGAAAGAAAAAGAAGTGCACACATCAAGTTTCGTTAAGATATCTCAATTTCTACTCGTGTTATAATGTGCTCAGACGGACGGACGGATGAACAGAAAGTCACCTCTTAATCGATTTCTTTTTCATACTGATCATTTATCTATATCTATCTCGATTCGTTTTGGCTGTTACAAACGACCGTTATGTGAACATAGTTATAATACCCTTTTACACAAGTGAGCGCGGGTCTAAAAAACTGTTTGTCCGTTTCGAAAGAGAATGTTTCTTAGGGAAGGTAAATCCCAGCATTATATAATAGTCCACAAAACACGCGAAAAATTGGTTTATTAACTATTTGTAAAATGTTTGAATTAATAAATCTATAGGAAAATCATATTTTGGAGAATTGTTTACATTCCGGTACAGTTTTTGTATACAGGTACGTGGGCGTGCCAACTTCCAAACCAACCGAATTTTTCACACTGCATATCTCTAGAAGTCTTCATGGGAGAGTAAAGGAACTTGGCATGGATACGTATGAAATTAATCGCTTACTCATGGAGGAAAGTGGGGCTATTAGAAAACTTACTGAAACTTGACGCATCTTTATATGTATTATTCTTCTGTACGTAAATGGCTTGGCCGATTTTAAAGAATTTTTTTTGTGTGTTTGAGTTGGTCTCTGAACAAGTTAGGTTCACAGTTTGACCTGCTAGGTGGTGCTCGAGTCGAGTTATTACTAAAAATCGTATTTATGGTCCAACTTGACTCATATTCGAGTTACTCATTGCTAACGGTAAGGGAAATATTAATGTAAAAAAGAGTTCCCAGGTGGCGCTGGAGTCTAATCATTACCAGTGCTGCCGTATTTTATTTTCAAAAAAACTGAATTACTAAGAAAATAACTTTTTTTTTTAAACTGCGACCTTAAAAAACGGAGGGATTTTGGAAAGGTGACCTACCTTTTTTATTCAAAAGAGGAAAACAGCTTTTCACTTAAAAATGTACTTCCAAATGACCAAAGGGATATTTTAATTCATTCTTTGAAATCTGAAATTTTGGCAAAACTGTAATTTGTACTAAATAGGTGGTAGTTAAAAAATAAACTGTAAGCTTGCCTAAAAAATTGAGATTCACAGTTAAAACTGATATTATATTTAAGATATTTCGTCTGAAATAAAGCTATGTATGTATGTATATTAGATTTCTGCAGAAGAATGATAGCCACCCATTTTGAAATTGCCATCAACTATACAATACAGTTTCAAAGGGAGATTCATCAGATGGTAGGGAACAGGAAAAAGTTACTACAGGAAAAGTGCAACAAAATGTCAGATCATTGGAGAATTTTAAGTACTTTTTCGCGGTCATAACACTTTCGCTAGGTTATTTAAGACGCCCATGGAAATATGCCTTCCGTCGACCACAAAACCATAATCTTAGCCGATAAATGTGTCACTGGAAATCGTGAATTTGAATAGTTGACAAAAATGTTGGACCAAAATTTTTCAACAAAAATAATTAATTTTGGGCGAGACGAAGTTCGCCGGGCCTGCTAGTCTAAAATTGAATAAAAAATTTTTATTTTTTTTCGGTCATAAAACTAAAAAAATTTCGCGAAAGAAACATTTTTACTGTTTACGTTTTTACAAAAACATGATTTGTATACCTTTCTAACCATCGATATCTAAAAATGAAAGGTACATGTTATTTTTTAATGTGCATTAAGAAGAGAGTTTCGTTACGTTAACCAAATATGTTCCTCTCAACACATGACTTGATTGATCAAGTCTTTTGGTGAAAGAAATATACACAAGTATGTATTTCTCAGTGTACATGTAAAATCCGTCGCATAACATTTCTGCACAAAATGAAAATGTTTACAAAATAATTATTTGCTTAACATAAATACTTAAATATATATTTTAGTTTAAAATGTAAATAATGAACTTATGATTTGTATCCACATACATATATTTTGTTTATTTTATTTTTTTATTTTTACTCGCCAAAATTTTGCTTTTCTTCTGAAATTTTAAACTTCCACAACTTGTTGTCTTGTCAAACCAACAAACAGATTTTTGCACCGCCCTCTCATTTCCGGTTTCCTTTGCGTGCGCACAACGGTTTTCACTCAACGCATTTTGAAACAGTAAGCATTTGCTATGACACAGTAGCTAGTGGTTGTCTCATCATTATTTAACTGTATAGATTTTTATTGACAATGCGTAAATTTTCACATTTACTAAAAATGTCTGCCATGAATTTTTACTCTTTCCGAAACTTTCAACGCTCTTCCGCTCGCTCAACACCCTCACAAACAACCACTTCTTGTGCGTCTGGATCTTATCCTTGACTGAAAAAAATTTAATGTTATTTCGCTAATTGTTTCCGCTAGTGGGCGGAACGTGTTCTGCCAGACAGCTAATAATGGCGGCAATTTCAATAACTTATAGGCGTTACAAATGCATTTGTGTGTATGTAGTATAAAATGAACATCCCCCATATACTCAGCACATTTATTTTTGATGCTGTTTTTTTATTTATTTTTTTTCAGTTAAATTTCACTTAACACCACTTCCATAGTCACTGTCTAAATAAATGAAGCTCAAAATTGAAGTAACTCTTTCACTTATATTAAGAGAAATAGCTAACTAACATTTTCAAATGAAAGCTCTCCTTTTCAATGCCCCGCTGATAACAGTTCTCCAGATAAGATAACAATGACATCAACTAATATTCACTCATTCATTCATTGATTAGCTCGTTCTGATTTCACAACTTCAGTTTGCGTATCCATTCGGTGGAGGCCGCTAGTGATTAGAATTTATTTTATAGAACATACGTAGAATTTGATAGACATTTTCAAAATAGGCAACTGTAATCCGTACAAAAGTAACCACAAAAGCAACAACAACGACAGCATGTCGGATGAAACTGATTTTGATATTTTCAAGAAGTCAAAATCTAAAGACAAACATGACAAAGCAGACGCTGCAAAATACGTTGGGCAACAATCCCATGACATAATTGCACCACCAGCAAATCAGTTAGTTGTTTCACGCTCCACCGACGAGGAGTTCTACTCTAACAATAATCCATATGTGGGTATTGCTGTTATACTCAATCACAAATACGTCAAGGGTCAGAAGGATCGAATGGGTACGGAGAAGGATCGCGATACGATAGCAGATGTTCTATGGTCATATGGCTTCGACGTGCGAGTCTTTAATGATCTGACATTCGAANTCAAGGGTCAGAAGGATCGAATGGGTACGGAGAAGGATCGCGATACGATAGCAGATGTTCTATGGTCATATGGCTTCGACGTGCGAGTCTTTAATGATCTGACATTCGAAAAGGTGGACGGGCAGCTGAAGGCGAGTAAGTATGAGCTTATTTTGTTTGTTAAATTTGACGGATACTGTCCATTTGTATTTTTATCCATAAAATCCTCACTGCGTAGACTTTTCAATTTTTAAAAGCATGCAATTATATCTGAATTACCCATATAAGACTGTTTGCTACATATTACTAACTTGTATGCTAAATATGGGCAAAGCAATACTTTTCTTGCCTTTAGTTATAAACAACATACATACATATGTATTTATATTACTCACAGGCATACCAGATACAAATTACTATAGAAATATACTAATATGTATGTACATCACCAGAAACTCTGAAAAATATGCACTATCGTTATTGCCTGTGGGAATCACTATCGGTATACATATGTATATATTTAAGTATGTACATATCGTTACCTTAATATAGAAAGGCCGTAACTCATTTTCTTTCGAAATTCAGAGTTGTACAAAAGTCGGCAATATTTACTGAGGGCCTAAAAGATCAATAAATTAGTTTCAGTGTTCATTAAATACCATTGCTTTGAAGAAAATTGCAATTTATTTTTATGGCCTTATTCCTAAAAAATATAGTAGTTTTAAAAATCTTTATAAATTTACTTTTTTATAAAATTTTTCGATTCATAAAGCATTTAAAGTCTTCTTTATTATTTATGAGTTTAGGTGTTACTTTTTATAAAGTTTTGTAGCTACGCGAAAAGAACCACACATTTTAGATATGACCTTCCTATATAAGGTGACGATATGCACAATTAACATACGTATACGAAAGTAAGTGTATGTACATTATGGTGGTCCAAAATAAGAAAACTCGGAATTTTAATGCTCTCACCCCCTAGGATTGTTCCATATCGAAAAAATATACCCTAATTTTTTTATTTTGAAATCAAAAAATATTTAGAGGTTGCTCAAAGCGCTTAAAGTTTTACATGCACTTAATATGAGGGAAAAAAAAATTCGTAGAAATGGATGGAAATCTTGAAAACTAATATTCTATCTATATCTGGTTCTCGTCAGGAGACTTCCAATAACAATACCCAATTGTCAGTGTGGTTAGAATTCAGAAAAGTTTTAAAATCAATGGAAAAGCATATTCCTCGCAGTTACCAAAAATTTCATGTTGCACACAGAAGTATTGGTTTAATAAAACCCATCAAAATTCAGATTTATCAACTTTGATAAAAGTATCTTTAAACATATGTGTTATTTTTCAAGCTAAATGCATAACTGATCTGTCAGTTGACAACCATAAAAGTCTTTGCCGCTACTTGCTGTTAAACGTACATCAAGTAGAACATATCGCACACTGTCTTCAAAAGAGGTACAACTCAAAATAATACGTTCGTCAGAAAAAGCGAAAAACTATTTCGTAGCACATGCTAATCATATGTGCAAGGGCGACTTTACCTTGGTTGTTTTAACAGATTATAATAAAAATTTGCTCCAGCTTTAGCTGAAAGGTAAAGAAAAGCTCTGCGTATATTTTTGGCGCATAATCTCAAAAATGCCAAATTTTGAGTAGTAACTCTTTTGTAGACGGTGTACGATATGTAGCTCTTATTGTGATAATTTTTGTTTTGTTTTCTGCGCTTTCGATGGCTGCATTTCTTTCTATCGTTATTAAAAGTCTTTACGGGCCAATCTTAAATAAAACCAAATACCATTTGTCTCCAAACCCATATTGACAAGGAGTAACGGAAATTCGTTCCAAAATACATCACACTCCTACCGTTTAGGAAGCATCAGCAATCAAAAAGAAACTTCCGTAAACTTTACCATCTAGGATTACACCTAAAAAGTACTTCGTTTCGGAATAAGTACATATGAATGCCCCTTTAAGTGTGTGGTGAGCCAGGCCGCTCAACCTACTCCTTCTAGTGAACACTAGTTTTGGTTGAGTTAGCGACCTATAGTGACCTATATGTAGTTAGTTTTAGCGTTAATTTAAAGAGAATATATGTAAGTTTTGACCAAATATTTACACAGCCCAGCAACTAGCGGGATGCTAGGATCCGTTATTTTTTTACGACACATAAGGGGTCCTATTCCTGCAAGCTCTACTAAATTGGAGATACAATATATCGGTATGTATGTAGTGAAGGGACAAAATTAGCCTACGGCAAGGTATTCATACAAGTGAAGAACTGAAGGTTGTCATTGAAGTTTAATAAATACATATGTAAATACTTAGCATCAGGGATTTTTAGGGCTTATTCTGGCAACCAATTCACATTTCAAACACAGTTTGAAGTCTTTTAAAACTCCAATGTTTACTCTCCGAATTCCACTTATTAAAAGAGCTTCCATACTTGTTTTATTTTCAGTCGCCAAAGAGGATCATACTAACAACGATTGCTTTGTGCTAGTCGTTATGTCACATGGCGCCGAAGGCAGAGTATTTGCCAGCGATATGAGCTACCCGGTTGAACGCCTTTGGCAACCATTCTTAGGCGAAAATTGTAGGAGTTTGATCAACAAGCCAAAAATCTTCTTTGTGCAGGTACACAAATTGCGAAATGTTTTAAATCAATTTCCAAAGCTTGCATCATTATTCTAATTTATTTTCTAGGCGTGTCGCGGCGACCGATTAGACAAACCTGTCGTTTTTAATGAATTCGCTGTGATGACTCGACAAATGGGAGGACCGTCCGTGCCCGAAGAAAGACCGCCTGTGATAACATATGCCATACCAAATACGGCCGATCTGTTAGTAATGTATTCGACATTTGAGAGTAAGTTAATTGATGAGAGCACTGCAGACTAGGGCGCTATTGTTAAAAAATAACTGTAAACATATTATTTTACAGAGTACTACTCATTTCGTAATGTTGAAAATGGCTCTTGGTTCATACAAAGTCTTTGCGAAGTTTTCGCTGAGGCTACCAACAAGCCAAACGCAACAACGGAAGGGTTTGATCTCTTACGTCTCCTCACCGCCGTTAACCGCAAAGTGGCTTATGAATATCAGTCATCCGCCAAAGTTGAGGTATTGAATCAAATGAAGGAAATGCCCAACTTTCTATCGACGCTCACCAAAACATTTTATCTTAAAGTGAAAAGTCTACCACAAAAACAAATGATTTAAAAATTACCCAGCTTTCTGAACAATTAACGGCACTGAACATTCATACATACATATGTACATATAAACTGTAACAATTTTGTTTAGCTATGTATATGACAACAAATAACTACATACTTATTTACTACATACAATTTATACTCAAAATAAAAAATCGCTTTTCTATCATATCTCTTTACTGACATACATACATATA